TTTTGTATGTTGGTGGCTGCATGTGCAATCCATAACAGCAAATTACTGCCATCACCAACTGTTTACCAAGTGCTTCTGATTCATTAGCTACTCTTTGATCTAAAAATTATATTTTCCTATTAACAGTTAAGTACCATAAATGTGTATTAATTTAAATGACAAGGGAGATAAGCTTAAATAACACAAGAAAAAATAAGGAAAAGGCACAGAAGTGGGTAGTCATGTATTTAATGGCAGTCTCCCCACTATGCTCTTTCCTTTTCTTGCTTGCTGTAAAAATTGCAGTGGTTGTTTACTGCTAAGGAGAATTTGACACTGCAACAATTCCTCAGACTCCTGAGATCTCCCAGGTCTGATGACCATTTCAAACTGCTTGTCTTCCCCAGTTTCCTTTACCTCAAGACATGTTGAGCTCTGGACAGTCCATCTTCCATTAAGAGATGGGCAGAGGATTTATGTATATATAGTTAGATGACCCGAGATGACATTCAAGACCCAATTCTTATTTTTGCTAAGGTTGCCTTATATTATGATAAAATAAAGCACCACTAGCAAGCATCAGGTTCTCATAACTGCATTACTGCCTGTTTTTTCTCTGGCTAAGAGTTCTGTGGTGAACACCAAGAGAGAAACCAGAGTCAGATAGTAACAGACATAATCAATCTTAAACAAATCTAAGGTATACATCAACTGTATGCTCATTAATTATTTTGTTGTTACTGTGCTCAGATGACCCAGTGGCACTACGCCATGTAGTAGTACACGTACAAACACAGCTTCTTTACCAGAAGTAGATATGCTCCATTCAGCATCATAATGTATTTTATAATATATCAGCACATGGAAAGTGAAACACTATTTTCCTTTCTGGGTATAGAAATAAGTGTCATTGCTAAGCTCACAGCTGACTATTATCTAGTGTAGACAGCTGAGAATGTGAGAAGGTTCACTAAAAACACATTGCACCAAAATTTCTCCTTCTCTTCAAAGAAAGGTTAGTCCATAACAAAAAGCAGAGTCTATTAAAAGATGCTCAGTAAGATACATATTGTCTATTCTCCAAATGTCTGTCACAGATGGTTTTCTGTCTGTAACTACCATTTGGGAAAATAGTGATTTATGTTCCACAGAACACATGAAAAAATACAGAAGGAAATTAGTGCCAGCCACTAGAAAGGAACAGGCTCTACTAAGTAAATTACAAAGCTGTAGGAAGAGCTCCTGTTACTCAGGGTTAAAACTCTCCTAACATCCAGAGAAGAAGGCTGAATGATGTGCAACATGTCAACATATCCTTATTTAGGTACTGCTGCATTGGAAGGGCTGCCAAACAACGGGAAAGCAGTTGCACCATGAGAAAAGTAGGTACAAATGTTTAGTGCAATGGCTCTGAAGTCACATGTACAGGAAGCCCATAAACAATCACTAACCACAGTGTAAGACTGCACACCTAGTGACTGCTTAACCCATACCATCAGTGCTGAGAAATAACAGCACCTTGGGCTGCCAGTTCATAGAATTTACTAAACCTTTCCTCAGGCTACTTCCTGCTCTTACAAATGCCAGTTTTCTGGGTTGCATACAGAGGTACCAAGTAGCAAAGCAGGAAGATGTATTTCCATGGCCATGCCCTAATAAAAGCTATGCAGAGGACACTTTTATTGCAGAATGTGCTGTCAAGGTAGCACATTCTGCAACAGATCTAAAGGAGGCTCAACACTTGTCAAGTCTCCTGAAAAATTCCCATCATCTCAGAGAGCTCTGTAGACTCCAACTCCAACATAACATTTACCATCTGATAGTCTCCAGACATACAATAGCTAATATAACCTTTCGTATGGGCCCCTTTTCAATGCCCATCTCAATGCAATATCTCATCATGTGCAGCCCCACAAACCTAATGGAAGTTGTGGCCTTGTGAGAATAAATTTCAGCAATATCGTTCCACTGAAATAAAGAGTTCAGATCCTTATTGTGATGCTCCACCTTTAATTTAATCACTACACCTGATTTAAAGTCTTTGTTATCAAGAGCAGCAGCTAAAGCCTGTGATAGAGCATTCTGCCTTCATGTGTTTGGGGCCTCCTGTCTGTACTGAGCAAAGTCAATACTGCTCAGTCAAAGCTTGCTGTATGTCTCAAGAAGGTAGTTACCAGTTTTCTCTGAAAATAAGCAGTTTACTCACACCTGAACACATTTCTGGCCAAATGGACCAGTACAGGCCTTACCTGCCAATTCTTCTTTACTGTCTCAAAAAGTTGAGGTTTGGTGGTTTGGAATAAATTGAAAACACTGGCTCTTCATTTTTTATAAAAGGAAAGGTTTTCTCATTGAAAAATGAGAATTTGTCAAATTGCTACTGAAGCTGAATCCTGCAAGGATTGTGGAACTAGGACCAACATCTGCAAAAACGGGTCTAGTTTTATTGTATTCAGTTAACTGAAATATGTAACTCACCCAGCTATAAAGTAGGCTACTCAGCTGGGAAACCAACGTATCTTCAGTTTTTGACATTTTAGTATATAAAGATTTACTTAAATCAGTATTTGTTGTTATGGGCAGATCTGCTGAACTGCATAATCCACCAACTCCATCCATAAGGACAAAATAAGTAGTTGTCATTCAACACTTCATCTACACTCTCTGTACCACATGCCTTCTCAATCTTCTGTTCATCATCCAAACTCAGCTGCAATACCTATCCTGAATATCACTTTCTTTCAAATGAATTACAATAATATGGTTTATAAGAAATAGATTTTATGTTAGTAGAGGGCCTGTGTCTCGATGGCTGTTAAGAACTGGATGTGTGACTGAAGCTGGGTGCAGGATTTCCGAATGACTCCTATGGGGCTGCAGCACTGGTGGGCCAGGTCATTTCTTCCACTGCAGTACATCAGGATCTTTATCAGTGGGGTCACTGGGTACTTAAAAGGCAAAATCAATGAGAGCACAAGGGAACCTGCACAGTCATTTAGAAACGGAGATGTAAATGGCAGGTGAACTAAGATTATATCATTGGTTTACCTGCTGATTTCCTTGGTTATTGTTTTAGAGGTCAGTGGTTAGGAAATAATTTTAGGGAATGTATCCTCCAGTGGAAGGTTCATCATTTATATGAATTTTGAACTAGACTGATGATGCATACATCAAACAAAGACAGCCCTAGGAAAGAAAATAAGCTTCCAGATCAGGCACAATGTTTGCACACATTTTTGGATCCTGAAAAGCACCACACAGAACATTACATGAATTTATAAATAAATTAAATGCTTGAAACCAATTTGATGCAGTTAGTCAATCCTAAAGAGAATTATTTAGAGCTATTCACTGATGCTGAACAATATGTTTTCCATAGATTCATAGGTGGAGCCAGTATCTCGCTATCTGTAAAGCTGCCCTACATCTCCCTTGTTTTCAGCTCCTTAGAACTGTACTGTTTTTAATAAATTAAGCTCCCATTTTCCAGACTCCTCTTTGCTTTAGGGTAAATATTTTGGAAAATTTTAGCCAGGAAAAAATACAGCCTTTTTTTTTTTTTTATGCAAGTAGATAAGACTATGAAAAAAAAAAGAAAATATTTTATTGTGTTTGCATTAGTAGTTTCAATGACTTTAGGCAACGTTCGTGTCCCCTGCTCTGGAGCAGCAACATATTTGGCAGGGAGATAGTGTGCTGGCAAGTCTCTACATTGGGAATGCAACTTTTGCCAAAAAAAATGGAAATGTATCCTAATTTGGCCAAGTCATAAACTGTAACAAACCATGCCTTGCATGTACCCGTGTATCCTGCTGTACCTGGTGGATGCATGCAGTTAAATTATCTGAGGACTGCATTTCAGTAGAAATGCTCAGACTCAGGGTAACAGATGACTTTATCTGCAATTTGTCTTCTGGACTGTTCTGGGATGTTCCCACAGTGGGCCTGGAACCAGTGACAAGAAGCCTTTTCTCCAGTTTTTGACAGACTGCAGACTGTCTGCAGTCCCTGCTGGCCTTAGAACTTGTGGGAGAGGAAAATGTCTGATTTACACACAGAACCAGCAAGGGTTCGACTTCAGTGGGAGAGAACAGAGGGTAGACTTCAACTGAGGCAGCCAACTAACACTCAGCATGGAGGAGGAATAAAGGGACATCTGATAAGCAGCTGTGTTCCCTGAGAATCATCATGTTTGAGAAAGCAAAAAAAATAAAGGAATAAAGAGATGATCACAACCCTGAATCAGACAACAATGGGTGAGGAACCAGAGAGGAAGCTGGGTCACTTTGAGGCCATGACTTGAGGGAAAGGACAAAATCCATGTGGGCAGCTAGAAAACACTTAACAGCAAGTCTGGGGACAAGGGCCTGAGTGAAGCAGCCTAGCAGCAAGGCACCAGTTCCACCAAGGCTCATGAGCCTGTCAGTTGATGTTCTGGGCTTTTGGAGATAGCTGGCTGTGGTGAAACTGGTCCAGTAGGGTAAAGACCAAGAAGCCTGGGACAGGGACACCAGAAATGCTTTGTCACAGGCATAACGGCTGGGAATGGGGACTGGAGGCTTGAGAAGGAGGTCTGAAAGGTAAGAGAATGTCTGCTGGAAAACTCTATGTGCAACCTGAGATTGTGCTGAAAACCAGCACTGGACTTGGAGAAGAAATAGGTTAAGGAGATAGATATAGAGAAGGAGAAACTATGTAACTGTACAATTTAAAGTGATATCAAAATATATAGGCGCAAAGACACAAATTATGGTTGCACTGACAGTTATTTCTGGCATACCCCGGCCAGGCAGTCCTTGCTAGCAATGCCTGCAGCAGATGCGAATCATTCCAAGCCCCAGGGGAGCGCAGCCACGTTGGACACCCCCATCCCCAAAAGCACCCAGATACCTAAATAGAGCCACCGGCCCCTGGCAGAGAAGCCACAGACAAGTCGGGGACAGGGACGGCGCCGGCGGCGCGGCCGGGAAGTGCCGGTGGGGCTGTCGCCGCCCGCGTCTGCCCCGGCGGCGACAGCCCCACCGGCACTTCCCGGCTTCGTAGCCACGGAAGCCACATGTTTCCCCCGAACGCGGCCAGCACTCGATACCCTCGGGGTGTCCGGCAGCACTGACCGCTGCAGCGGGGACGGGTCCAGTCTTGTTTTGCGGAGAGCAGAGAAGGGTGACCCGGTCCCTGGGAGCTGGGGTGAGGCGAAGAGCAGGCGGGCGCTGAGGTAGCCTTTTGCTCCTCTGCGCCTTTGATCAAGGAGCTCTGAAAAGCAGGAAAAGATGTCAAATGATTTTTGGAAAGGGAAGAGAGAATGCTGGGGGGAGGACGAAGGGAGGGAAAACGTCCAAAGCGAATGGAGTGCGTTTCTCCGCTGTATCCCGCGGAGCCGCTGATGCCGCGTCCGACCGTGCCCCCCTCTCCGCTGGGGGCTGGTAGTCGGCCCGGTACTGTCCCGCCGCACCGACAGCGAGGGAGGGCTCGGCACCGCGTACAGCGTCTCTGAATGAACCGGTGGGGAACGGCCAGGCTGTGGCCGTGTTAAAACGATAGTTGTAGATGCGGTGCGCTCTCACTTCCACAACTTGTCCACACCTACTTATTCTCAAAGTCTTTTCGAATAACAGACTGTGATTCCTTTCTAAACGCCTTCAGTTGCAAGCCTGTTTCATTGTAGCAGTTATAAGAGGATAATATCAAACTGGTTTGCAATATGAAACCTTAAAGAGCTGAAGACTCCTCAGAGCTGGGGTTGTTTCATAGGGCTGGTCGGCAGACCTCCGTGGATCCACTTACTGGTTCTTTAGTGCTCTCCGAAGGTGCCCACTTGCAGAGAGGTAAATGCGGTGACTCTGAATGCAGACTTGTGAGTATGAAGCCTTTGCCTTTCGGCACCGGCTTGCATGTTGTCTTTGTGACTTTGTAAAATCACTTAATGCTGGGGTAGTAAGAGCTGGCAACCCATCTTCTGTGTTTCACCGTGACTTTAAGCGAGTCAAGGACGTTTAAAGTCCAGGGAAGGTCGTTGACAGATTTTCTTAAAGTTAAAATAAAATATTGCAGCTCATCACATTACCATTATCTCTTGGAAAAAGCATGAAGAGCAGTGCACAGGAGTTATTTAGTTGATGGTGGTTTTAGCGAAGTTCTGTTCCTTTTGGCAAGTCCATCACGTCTAGGAAGAGAACCAGCATGTCAGAAAGTCTGTTTCCAATAAGTTTCCCCTTGGAAAAAAAAAAGGGAAAAGGTAGATCAAGACTGGTTTTGTCTCCAAGGAAGTTCAGTTTTTCAGCACTGTGCTTAAACTTCAGGAATTATGTTTTGTAGTGGGATAGGGAAGTGACAGAAGTGTGGGTTTCGGTGGAAGGGTGGGTGATTTTCATGAAGCATCAGGATCTGGTGCTGCAGCTAATGAGAAATTGCAGTTTGTATTTCATACATCCAAGAAAGAGGCCTCCCGTGGGAGCAAGCAGCCCCAGTTTTCCTGCTTTCCGTGGAACCGAGCTCAAGGCCACAACAGTCCACTAACTAGGCTCTGGTTACTCCCCCTTCGAGCTGAAATCTTCACTCGGGTACCACATCAAGTGTGGTATATATGGGTATACCCACAGTGTGTTTAACTTAGAGATAACACTTTAAAGCGGTGGGAAGAGGGGGTGAAAGCGTGTGATAGACAGCTCGAACATGCATGGCTTGGTCCTGGGTCCGTTTTAGCTTTTCCTTTTTTAAGCTTGTGTTGCTGTTTGAGTGGCGGCACAGACTTGTTTTCCTGATTAAATACACTTCGGTACTTCTCTAAGGAGACTTGGCAGGAGGCGAGGCTTTGGAGAAATAAAATTTCAGATGGTCAAGACCTTTTTACAGGCGACACTGAGAGACCGGGACCATCTCGTCCGCTCTTCTGCTTCTGGTGCTGTGCTGTACCTTTAGAGGAGCTATTCTGGGAGCTCGGGTGTGCGCAGCATTTTAGCAGCTACACAAAATAAAGAAATTTAAGAACAAAAGATTGCTCTGGATGGTCAAACTGGAATGAGTTGGAAGGCTACATTTAGGAAGTGGTTTCTTGGACACTAATTAAGACCATTTGCTTGGGGTTGCCATTATTTTCCTTTTAGTCTGGAGGGCACAATAGATCAAATGATTTATACATCATTAACAATTCTTGTTAACCATAAGCAGGGTTGGGTTTTCCATACTGATTACTGCGCAATGCAGTAAAGACTTGTTTTATTTCTCCTCCAGTGTCCATATGAGCAACTTAACGGGAAAGACCAGCCCAAAAAGAAGCGCTTCAACTCACTTACGCTTTCTAATGTGTGAATATTAACATCTTCCACCCTGTGAAACCAAAGTCCATCAGCCCTTTGTGGCTTCCACAGTTGAAATACTGGCGTTTGCTGTACCTGATCCTGGCTCCCAGTGAATGCATTTTAATTGTAATAAAACACAAACTGAACCATATGTGCACGTGTGTTTCGGATGCCGCATTGTTGATCCCCCTTCTGAGCTACAAGTAACGGGTTAGAATCTCATAATACGGTGGATTTCACTTTAAAGCAAACTAAGAGAGGCAGCATATGCACTCATTAAAACTCCACGGATTTGTTTAACGTTGCTTTTGTATGCGCCGTGATGTCCAAGACGACTGTGGTACGCCCAGGAGTTTCGGGAGGGAGGGGCGGGGAGGGACGTTGTGTCGTGTGTTGTGCTGTGCTGTGTTGTGTTGATGTGAGCACCGGGCGCTGCTCCCCACCGGCAGCTGTGGGTGCCCCGGGCTGTTCTCCCTCGGGCGTGAGCCCGTCCCGTTCTGGGCGCCGGGGGATGCTCCGGCCTCCTTGTGCGATGAGTCTGGAGATGCCGAAGCAGCAGAGCGCCATCCGGCCAGGAGCCCTTCCGAAGAGAGGCCGGGGGAGCCGTCGACTGCAGGCCGAGCCCGGGGTCCCGCCACGGGTCTCTGGGGGGCCGGGGGTTGGGGGATCCTGCAGCCGTGGGGCAGGGACGAGGAGTCTCCCTGACACACTCATTACCGGATTAAACCCCCGGCACTGAGATGGGGGATGGGAGAAAGAAAGGCTCCACAGAATCGCTTAGGTTCCTGAATAATTTAAATTCTTTGTATTTGATTGAACATCGGTCTGTTTGGTGTCCAAGTTTGTAAAAGCCTTTGAAAGACAAAACAATTCTGTTTGCAAACATAATATAAAGTGTAAAGCGCACTACAGATATTCATGAGCAGCCAGGAGGTACCGAGCACTCCTGTACGGTAGAGGCAACCTTGCCAGGAGCTTCTTCATCTTTGTTTCATTAACACGAAAGTTCCCCTTTATTTCCTGCTAGAGTTACTGATATCCGGACTACCGTATTTAGTGTCTCGCACGACTTTTCTCACAGATCTTCATTAAGGCTAAACGGTACTCCCGAAAGATGTCCTATCAACCGTGTTGATGAATTGCTGCGCCCAGAGAGCCCCACAGAAGCCCAGGCCCGACGGGTACCTTTAAACTGAGCCGGTCTCAGCTCCTCCTTACCCCTTTCCCCGGCTAACCCTGGGCAAGAACCTGGAGCCAGGGAGTGCGCCGGTAGGGACCTTGTTTAGGAGGGAGTGGGGTTACCCGGAGGGACTGGATGTTGCAAAAGGCAAGGCTATTTTTCTTTCCATTTATGTACTTTCAAATGAAGCAGACAGTTTCATTTAGACGGGAAACTATTGTTATTTGCTTGGTGTCCCATTTTGGTCCTTCCTCAGCTTTGGTTGAACGTAATGTCTTGAAACCTATTCCAAAAAGATGCTTGCACAGTCTTCCAGATGCTAAGACTCTAGACCATTTGAACGTCAGCGCTGCCTTCTGGTAACAGAAAACATCCAAATGGATTTCGTTTGTGTATTAACATCCGTCAGATGGGAGGGTAGCACAGTTTAGAGCTAAAGTCTGTTTCCATCGTTTTAGCAACCGGGTCCACATGAACATCTCGTCTGGCAAGTCAATAGGTTGAAGCTACAGTGAACGCTGTTTAAATATCGGAAATGACTTGGAATAGCTGTACTAACAAATAGTGACTTAACGTATGAGGCTATTACCGCTGTTTATATAGCTTCGCGTGTGCATGCAAATAGACGGAGAGGGGGGTCATGGCGGGGAGAGACAGCTATAAAGGCACCCGTCGAGCTGTGCGCCCCGGGGATGCGGGCTGAGCTCAGCCCCACTGCGAAGTGCCGCCGGCGAGTCCCGGCTCCGTGCGCCGGTCGCTCCGGCTGAAGGGCCACTGGCTACCGCTCGCCCTGCCACCGCTCGGCCTCCGCTCCCGGCCGTCCTGCTAGGTGGGGAATCTGTAACGCCATGCGCGCGTATGTGACCTCCACGGCAGTAATAATGAAATAAAGCATGACAATAGTTAGGTGCGAGGCAGCAGGTGGCTTATTATAAGCTTCGCATATTCCTCTGCCGCCTGTTCCCATTAGGGCACCGGTAATTGGGGAAAAAAAAAATATTTTATCCGCTTTGGAGAGTAAGCGGAGGAGCAGGGAAGAGTCAGCGACTGCTCTGCCCAGCCGGGCCGGGCTCCCCAGAGCCCCGGGCCCCTGCGCCCTCCGGCAAAGTAGCAGCAATAACAACCGTGGTGATTATGATGACAATAGTAATTATTACTCTTGTACCTTGGCGCGGATGTCGGCTGCTGTCTCAGGGAAACTTAAGAAGAGAGCAAGTCCCATGAAGGCACCTCACTCTCAATGCGCGGTCAGCCACCTCCCAGTCCTGACACGGACCGACGGGTTCAGCTAATCCTGCCCGACGGTGCTCCCGCTTTTGCCTGGAATGGCTTTAAACTTCCTACTCGACAGTGGATTTCATTAACACCTTATTGTGAAAGTGCTCGCGATCCAGACCATGGGAGCAAGACGGGCTTGCACGACCCCGGATCCGGCAAAGCAAACTGCGCGCTCAGAGCTGCCACTCACCTGCCCCAAACCCACTCCCCCCGCAGGGAGATACTGCGGCTTTTCTGTTCTCGGTCAGCAGCGCTCCCCCCCCCCCCCCCCCCGCCCCCTCAGCCCGCCACCTCCCTGGCTGGGCTTTCCAGGTGAGCTACTGTCAGCTGGCCTGCTCTCTCGTCGCAGGTCCCCGTTAGCAGTGCCTGCCCCCCCCCGCGCTGCTCTCCAAGCCCTGCCCGCGGGAGGGCGGGCGCGGTGCTGCCGTGGGGCCTCGGCAGCGGGGGAGCCCGGGGCGGGGAAAGAGGCTCCCTGTGACACCCCGCTGTGACCCGGCCATGCCGATCTCCGCTCTGCTGGCAGCGCCGGCTGCCGGCGGGGCGCCCGGCCAGACCCCAGCCCGCCCTGCGATGCGCACTTTGGCGGGGAGCGGAGCCCTGCCCCCTCCGCACATCGCCGGGTCTCCGCTCCCTGACCCGCTCCACGGAAGGCCATTAGCATCCCTTGCTTCCCTTTTTTTTACCATCTTCTAATAGATTACCAAGTCGGCCACGTAGACCTCAGGGTCACATGGCTCAGGTGAGAAGAACTGAAACCGTCACGGGAGTTAAGGGAAACAGGCAAACGAAACCAAAGCGCGGAGTCATCTCGTGTTCCAGCTCCAGAAGGGGCTCCCCTGCCACCCGGCCCTTGCCGAAAGCCCCTTCCTGCAGGAGCCGCCCCGCCGCAGCCCCCCCGGGAGCGGCCGGGGTCCGGCTCCCTCCTCGCCTCCTGCTCCGGCGTGTCCCCCCAGCCCCTCTCTGAGGAGGGAGGCTCCAGGCACGAGAAATGATTCCCGACTCTCTATTTTTCTATTGTTTTCAGCCGGTGGATCAATTGTCATCAGTACTGTCACCTAAGAAGCAATGATTCCGATTCATCTTGGCATCTGATTTTATTCTAATGGGTTAAATTGGGTTCACTTTTACAATTACCCCAGGTTTGACTGCGTAGTATTGCATGACAACTCACAGTTTCATCGGGTTTGGCAAAGCGAGGTTGCTCCATGAATCCGTATATCATATCACATCAGATCAGGCTGAAGTTTGCTGTTTAGCGACTCCATTTGAGAGGCTTTTTATGAAAGTGGGAAGGGTTGATGCAGTCCATGGCTGGTTCACTGCGATTTGAAAGGAAAAAAAATGTGGCGTGATGGCAACAACACGGGGTTTGCTGCTCAGCTGTGAATAAGCACAGAACGAAAAAAACGACATGATGGGGGAACGCTCAGCTTGCTGCAGTATTTTTATCAGCCTCTCAGTCCTCGCCTTTTTCTAATTTCCTAATATGTTCTTTGCTTTATTAGTTTTATTTACAACCAGCTCCCCATTAACACCTCACCTGATTACTGAGGAGCTGAGACAGCTAATCGAGAAAATCCAGCAAACCAGCCAAAATTGAGAGGTGGGATTAATTTTTGCTTTCATTCATTCTTCTTCTTTATTTATCTATTTGGGTTTGGGAAAAGATTTCGAAACAAACAGAAAATAAAAGGCAGGTATAAGTGCATGGGAGAGGTCAGAGGTTAGAAATCCACGTCAATTCTATATTAGAGACTATGGGGGGGGGGGGGGGGGGAATCTTTCCACCAAGCAGCTTGTTTATTTTAATTAACATAGGGATCCTCTGCTAGGAACAAGGAACAACCTCCATCTACTGGCTAGATCATTGCGTCTCTTCTCCATCCAAAACCCATCCCTCATCACTCATTAAGGAGGGTACAATTTTGGAAGAAGCTTCTAAGGTCTCAAGGTAAGCTTCTGCATGAGCCTTTGCTAGCGATGCCTCTATTTGTACCTCACGGATGTCATTTGCGGGGTGTTTCTTTGGCGTGGTGACTCGTTTGGGTTTGGTTTGGTTTTTTTTTCTTAAACAGCACAGAACGGTTGTTTCCCCAGGTGTATTCGCAGACAACATTTGGTGTATCTGTGTTTTCATCTAGAGAAATAGCAGCCTAGGAAGACTGAGCCATTCAGCTCAATTAGGGGCAAAAAAGGAGGAAAAAAGAAAAGAGAAGAAAGGAAAAATAAAAAGAAAAAAGACTGTTTCTTTTCTGTCTTCTTACTATATTTTTTCTTTTTAGCCTTTTTAAATTTAATTATTATTTTTAATGGAGTGGCTCCTTTCACCTGTCTGTGAATAGAGCCTACTGTAAGAGAGTCCTTTTCAAAAGCATCAGAATATGATAGTTTCCAATGGCTTCTTTACAAGCGGAGTGCAAACACGGTTACGGTTAGTATCAGACAACTAGGAAGCGAATAATGCTGAGGTCCTGGGCGGTGAACAGTTCTGTGTTAGACAATAATCCGCCTCTCCCGCTTTCTTCTGGCCGTGTGCTTACTTGTTTGTGGCCAGTCACAGCACTCGGCTATGTGTCTAGGCTTACTATGCAAAGTACCGAATTGTTTATTGTTTAAATATCATCTCCTTAAGCAAATGAATACGTGGATTATTTTACATGTTTTCAGATTACCGGAAAGTACAAGCATGTTGGAGGTTTGGGGTTTTCAATTCGGTGATCCTTATGGTTCAAGATGCCCTGGGCTAGTGTTACTCGTGCCGCCCGGGGGTAAGAGGGGCGGCAGTGCACTTGTCCTCCCCTCCTTCCTAGCACGGGAGTCCCAAAGTTGACCTGCGGTACACTCGGGAAAGCTCAGGGCAGGATAAAGACGTGGAATTCTAAATAACGCCGGAATTAAAATTAAAAAAAAAAAACAAAACAAACAAACAAACAAAAAACGAACAAAAAACCCCCACAACAACAACAAAAAAAACCAAACCGAACAAACAGCAACCAAAACACACCCCCCCCAATCCATTTAAATGCTGAAAACGACGTTAACTATGTTTGATGCCCCCGCCGAGAGATGTAACTCTATTCAGATTTTCCGTCTTTGTGTCTAGATTGCTCGTATTAGCCCCAGACTTCACAAAGAGATGAGGGTGATCATTATTAGCACTGTATTCCGCCACAAGCTCTCAGAGCAGAAAATAGTTAGGATTTAAAAATAGACCTGGCTTTAACCACCCGACTCGCAGGCAACAGGACCGTAATCTTGATGCTGTTATTACTACGAGCTTTAAATTTCTGGAAATAATTAAACTGGAAGTGTCTTGAGAAGTTCAGAAGTTCAGGTACCTGACGGAGACGTGTGAAGTTCTTTCTTCTGCCCTTACGGGGCAGGAGTCTTGCTGACCTGGCGCCTGCAGCCTGGGACAAGAGATGGCCTCATCTAGGATGGACTAAATCCACACCATTCCGGCTCAAAGAACACCCCCCGCCGCGCCCCCCCCCCCCCCCCCGCCGCCTGAACGCCCTCCCCTTTCTTCTAATTACTGTTGGTCAATTATTAATTTGCATGTAGACCTTGTCCTAAATCCTCAGAACTAAACGCCAGCTCGTTCACGCTGTAATAGGCTTTAGAGCGTAGCCCGTGGCCAGGAAGAATAAGGGCTGTATCGCAAAGCGGATCTCAGTGACCGCATGCTGAAATCCGTGCAGGGCACACGCTAATTACAAAGGTGGAAACGGCTCCGGGCAGGGCGGCAGCCGGCAAGGCAGACGCTTTACCTGTGGTAATCCCAGCAGCGATGTGTTTGTTCCCCCTCATCCTCGTTAGCTGGGGAGTCTGGGTATGGCCTCACAGAAAGGAAAAGCCTGAGAGCGCCTGTCATGTTACTAAAACGTTCTGAAAATTGCACGAGGTATCCTTCCCAAAAGGCTGCGGCAGAAGGGGGTAAAAGCACCCTGCAATGAGAACCTACGTTTCAGAGGCGAAGTGCTAATGCAGATGGATTCGTAAGGGATAAACCGGTCGATTTGGATTTCAGATTCCCTGTCGTGCTCTTTGTGAGCTGTTCTTTCCCCTCCCCAAGCAAACCAGCAAACCCATGTAGAGACCCCCGTTCCGCAGCGGCAACCTTTCGCTACCAGCCTGCCTTGGAGCAGACATGTTCCCGTTTGACGCGAGGAAGGAGAGCTCAGGAACATTGAAATAGATTTACCTTGATCTCCCACAGGCCTTTTGAAAACGGAGAAGTCACGTTTGATGCTAGCAATAAACTTTTCGTGTCCCTTTAGGTAAGAACTGGTCTGCCAACATTAGGATATTGATCAGAAAACGTCTGGGAAAGCCCTGGCCTCGTACTGGAGCAGCAGTAGCTAGTAGCATATCCCTAACCGTACCTGGTGGAGCAGAAAGGACGGACCCTCTAATTAATTAAGTGTGCCCAACCGGAGGAAGTTCAGTCATTTCGGACTTTATGAATCTGCCCAGGTATTCCTAACGGCGCCGTCGAGCTAAGGTAGAGACGGGAATTTAATAAGCAGTGACTTTGGTGTCTCGGGCTTGGATGGACGCTTTGGCGCTGCACCTGCGGACAGCACCTCGGAAAGCCCGAGACAGCAAACTGCAGAGAGGCCGAAAGAGACAGGATTGGTGTGCGCTCGGAGGACGAGCTGCCCCTGCTTTAGCTGCCCTGAGAGAGCTGGGCCCAGCGCCCCCCAAGGGGCTCCCCTAAACCTCTCCTTTCCCCGCTCCCAGAGGGCGCGATGAGTATGACCGTCCTCAGCGCGGCAGGGACACGGTCACAGCCAGGCGCGGCCGTGGGGAGTACGAGGGGGAAAGGGGGGGGGGGGGCGGGTGTCGGCGGTACCTCCGCCAGGCATACGCGGGTGGCTCTCGCAACGCGGGCACCGTGGGACTCGCGGAGCCAGCACCGAGGAGCAGGAGCAGCCCGAAGCTGAGGCAGCGCGAGTTACCCCGGACAAAATACCTGGACGGGCATACAGGAATATTTCGTTCAAAGGGAAATAAACGAAACCAAACCCGAACGTGCCAGGAGAGTGGAAGGGTTATACTGCAGCTATCGGGAATAAACTCTTCTCTAGGTGAGGGGTTTTTCACCTGTGCCGACAGCCGCCAACACAACCCCACACGCCAGGTAGGCACACGACTGTGGAAGCAGGGTTTGCGGACAGCAAGCCCTTCTCCGACAGGCGTCCCTGTGTGTCGCTCCCCCCCGCACCGCCTCTCCTGTTCCCGCCATCCCGGGCTGGCTGCGGCTGCGCTCCCGCTGCCTCCGCGGGACCCGGGAAGGGAGGGGGGGAAAGTGGCTTCTCCAGTCTCCCGGAGCAGCCGGGGCAGCTCGGAAGGGTGACGGGAACGGGGGATCCTTAACGAATAGCTCCCGTATCCCGGATCGAATCACCTTGTTTATTTTTTCCTGATGGCTTATTGTGCTAATTGACTTGTTTTCTCCAAGGAAAGCCTATCTCCCCTCCTCCTTCCCCACACACAGGTTTTCTGTTTTCTCCCCCACACTCCCTCTTATTTTTTTTTTTCTTTCCCTTTTTTATTCCAGACCGGGAGTGCTCTTGCAGGAGATTATGGCTTGTGGAGGGATCTACCCGTTTTAAAGGAGATTCCCTTACCCCTTTGAGTCCCTTTGGTTTTATAGCTATTACTCTCTTATTAAAACACACACACATATACAACACATTGATTTCCATCCAAAAGGGCTAATTACATTACTTACAGTAAATAGCAGCCCTGCTGTCCAGGGTTTAGTGTGCCAATAGAGGAAAAAAAATCCCAGTTTATTTCACTTGATTGACTTCATCTTTGTGTGAAATTGTGTTTTATGAGCTGTATTCTGGCACTCGGCAGAATGTAGCAACATTCAATCTGCAAATAACATTAATTTTAGCTACTTAGGGGGAAAGAGAAGGGAGGAAACTGGCTGCCTGAATCTTGGGTTACATGGAAGAGGTGACTCGAGGAGCCCCTGAGGATGTCTCTGGGATGCTTTGGAAAGGAAGTGGGGGCTGGGGTACTTCTTTCACTAGTCGCGCTCGGGTTCGGTGTGGAGCGTCCCCCAGGGAAAGGGGAGCGCAGAACTGCCGCCAGGAAGATCCTTCAGTAAGGATCGAGGTGTCAGGAAACAGCCGGCAGCTGTTCCAGGGAAAGGCAAGGAAGAGTGGTGTGAGAAGTAAGTAGGAAAAGGAGAAAGGAGGGGAGGGGGAGCAGAGAAAGAGATTAGTCGGGAAGGAATGTATCTCTGGGTCCCCCGCACACAATGAGCGCTCTCAGCCCGCAGCCGGGGAGCGGGCAAGGAGACAGCCCCGCCAGCACGTTCCCGTACAGCGCAGCCCGCCCCGTCGGGGCAGCCCGCGGAGAGGACCATAGGTCCTGCTGTGGATACGGGCGGGTCCAGCGGGATTGGCGCTCCCCGGCGGCAGCAGGGCTGGTAAAGCGGGGGTAAGCCTTCGATCCTCCCGGGAGCTGGGCGGGCTTTGCTCTCCGGCCGCCAAAGCCTGCGGCCGCCTTCCCTCCTGACCGCGGCTGCCAGGTCCCGGGACGCGGGGAACGGGCAGCAGTCTGGCCGCTCCGTCCCTCTGTGGCTGCCCCACAGCGGCGTTTCTCTTCCCTCTCCCCTCCCCGAGACGGAGTCGGTGCCAGCCCGAGGGGCCGCGGAGCGGAGCTTCCCCCGGCGTGGCTCGGCACAGGGCCCCCGGGCCACCCTGCCCCTCGGCAGGCGCCGCCAACTCCCGGGACTCCGTGTTTGGGGGAGGTAATAAACCCCACCCACAGACCGACTGTAATGTTTGTCACTGCTTGCCCATCACTAGGGGTTGAGAGGAGTATGACAGGTCTTTGTTGTCTGAATAAAAATCAGTGGCAGCTCAAGGGAGAGAACTCCTCCTACTAAATTATCAAAAATGGGCTGGCTTTAGGCTCTTAACAAATTGGACAGAGCTCCGGAAAGCAGCAGTCCCAAATCCAACCTACAGGCACTGGGAACTTTAAAGCAACCGGGGACTGCTGAAAATAGCACTTCTTTTTGCTTTCTTTGTATTCAAAACTATATCCTTTCCCGACCGATTCTATTGCCCTAGGTCCAAGTCTCTCCAGTCAGGAGCCCCAGCTCTGCAGAACAGTATCAGATCCTTTAGCTCGCTTTTATTATTTTATTTTTAAAATTAATTATTATTACATTTCCTCCCCTCCCCCTTGTTTGTTTTCTGCACATCTTCAGGAAGCCCTCGGTGCTTGTGCAAAGAGAAGCTCCTGTTGCAACCTCCTTCCCTGCGCTGTGCAAACATTTTGTGTAAACATTTTGGATGATCTAAAGACTCTGGGGTCTGTATATGGAAATAGTGGGGTGCAGAGCAGAAGAAAATACTTGTCCTTTCCGTCCCCCAGCCATGCTTTTCCACGGGATCTCCGGAGGCCACATCCAAGGAATCATGGAGGAGATGGAGAGGCGATCCAAGACCGAGTCCCGCCTGGCCAAAGGGGGACAAATGAACGGCCGAGAAACGGTAAGAAAGGAGCTGGCACCCTTTGAAGGGAACCTCTGGCTTTGGGGAAGAGAAAGGAGCTGCTTCTCTCTGCCCTTCCCTCCTACCCCTCGCTTGCAGAAATCCTCTCGGGGCTCCCTGTACACCCACCGTAGTGCCGGGGGCCTTGCGGACAGGCCCAGTTACGCATGTGTGTAATCGATGCCTTGCTTGTGCTCTCTGGAGTAACGGGAGGAAAGCTTTTTAGCTGGTAACCGGGGCGATTTTTCAGCCCCTGCGCCTGCTCGACTCGCTGCGGCCGCTCTGCCTGCCCGAGCGGGCTCAAGCTGGAGTTTCGGAGGTGTACTGTATCTTTTTTTCCTCATTCCTGGCACCTCCTAAATTAAACCGCAAACCGCGGCCGCTTACTTGTCGTAACCGTTTTTAGTCCGAAATGTGGGATTGATCCAAAGAGGCACCGCTCTCTCTGAATGTTATGTGCGCCGACTACCTTGCTTAGCAGTAACATTCTTTTCTTACTCAAAGGACCAAAGTCTCCACAAATGTACTAACGGGATGGTGGAGAAACTGAGTGTCACGCTGTGTTTTGTGCAAAGCGAGATCTCCTTTTTTCCAACTTGTAAGGCTTCCGCCGATCGCGCACAAGGCTCTGCACACAAAGTAACGGCCTGGAAAACTGCTTTGAGGCTTTGAGCCATAGGGTCCTTCCCCCCTTCTCTTAAATAAACTCCCGCTTTGTTATACGAGGATTTGCAATGTAAATTTAACTCGCCTTTCCAATTGCTAAAAATAAAAAAGTAAAAGAGAAAAGAAGGGCGTGGAAGAGCTTCAGATTGAAAAATGATTGCGGAGTTGCCACTTTTAAACAAGTTGCGACTTTAGAGCAAGATTTCGTTCCCCCCCCCCCGTTTATCAGCAAACGCTGCCCCGAGTTTCCCGGCAGAGCTTTTGTCTCTGCGGTCCCTCCGTCTCCCTTTGTCCCGAGCGACACTCCTCGTGGGGAGCAGATTAACGGGAACTTGAAGAAGTTTCCTGATGAAAACACGCCAGGTTTAGCTAAGACCAGTCTGTGCCCACGTCCCTGTGGAGAGAGCGTTGTCGCTCACTCTTTACACCATCCACCTGTCCCCTTTCTGTTGCTCTTGTTTTAAATGGATTGGCTTGCTTTGGAGACGGAGGTTTTGGCTCGTTTAAGAGCGGCTGAAGATTTACTGGAAAGTCGGGGCAAGCCTGCATCCTCTGCCATAAAGTTCTGGTGCAGCAAACCGGTGTTTTTCTACTTTAAAATGCCTTTCTTGGAGAGTGCTCTAACACTAAAACGGCAAAGTAAGGGGGAAACTACAGGCTTAGGTACCAAGTTCGGTACCTCAGCAAATAATGGGCTCTACTTTTCTTCCTGAGGCCTAATCAGTTGTCTTCGCATATTGAAATGACATTAGATCGCTAAGAGAGGTTTAATGGGATAAACACGAAAGCTGAATCGCGGTAAACGGTTCCCTAGCGGGCATGGTCCCGGCTCCCCCTCAAACTTCCCGCCGGGAGAAGGCCGTCGATCCCAGCGAGCGGTCGGTCTCCGTGTACCGGCCACCGTGCCCAGCCCGGGCTGCCCGCTTGTCCTTCTCTCCCTGTCTCATCTCCTTGTGGTGTGGTTGTTTTGCAGAACATGCCCCCAATGAGCCCCGAGAAGCCTGCTTTGTGTGCTGGTTGTGGAGGGAAGATCTCAGACAGATATTACCTGCTGGCTGTTGACAAACAATGGCACCTCAGGTGTCTTAAGTGCTGTGAATGTAAACTGGCTTTGGAGTCAGAACTCACCTGCTTTGCCAAGGACGGCAGTATTTACTGCAAGGAGGATTACTACAGGTACAGCAATAAGCCCCCCCCCCCCCCCCGGTTCAAAAGTACGTCCCCTCAAAAGGCATTATGAACCGAAGCGCTTCTTAATCCATACGAGCTTTTAAAGGTATCTTTTCGCTGTCAGCGATAAATCCTGCAAACGTATCCCCTCCAAAAAGTCTCGCGCTTTCAAAACCTGAAAGGATCCGCAGGGGACACGCCGAGTGAGCGTGTGTACCGGTACACAAACAGACGCAGAAGACCCCGGGTCTCCCGCTGCTCTGCGGTTTCCCTCCGCAAACGCCAGAGTAAGACCCAGCAGAAGTTTCTCTGCGCCAGTAGTCTGTCAGTTTTTCCACTGCCGGGAAGAGGGCCCGGGGAAAGCGGCAGCAGCGGCTGAGCCCGCGGTCCCCTGCACAGCCCCGCAGCCGTACCGCCAAGCAGCCGGGCCGCGGGACCGGTCATTCGTTGCATGTGTACGTTACAGCTTTCCCGCTGCCCTTCTTGTCTTTACACGGATGCCGGGAGAGCGGGGATTCGTTTCTCCCCCTCCGCGTTTTTCCATGAGCAGGAGCAGCGTGAGGGCTCTTGCAAAAGTCCTAAGAGAACCTAATAGATCAGCTTGGCAGAAGGAGCAAGGCGTTCCCCCTGGGACCCCAGTGCTGATTCCCCAGTGGTATTTCCCACCAGCCGGAGCGCCGGCAGCAGGCTGCCAGGGACCATGGCAGGCAGCAAGGGTCATCCCGGAATGGGAGGGAGAGACCCCGGCGGCCGGTGGGAAGGCGGGCGGCTCAGGGCGAGGTCTGCCGTCTCCTTTCTAGGTGATGCCCACTTTCCTGTTTCCTTCAGAAGGTTCTCTGTGCAGAGATGTGCCCGCTGCCACCTTGGGATCTCAGCCTCTGAAATGGTCATGAGAGCCAGGGAGTCGGTTTATCACCTGAGCTGCTTCACCTGCACCACCTGCAACAAGACTCTGACCACGGGGGATCACTTTGGCATGAAGGACAACCTGGTTTACTGCAGGGCCCACTTCGAGTCCCTTTTGCAAGGAGAATATCCCCCCCAGCTGAGCTACACCGAGCTGGCTGCCAAGAGTGGAGGGCTGGCCCTGCCCTACTTCAACGGCACGGGCACGGTCCAGAAGGGCAGGCCGAGGAAACGAAAGAGTCCTGCCTTGGGAGTGGACATCGTCACCTACAACTCAGGTGGGAAACACACGCCGAGCCTCCCTCCCACTCCCCTAAAAGGGCGTTTTCGGGCTTCCCCTTAGCTAGGCAGTGTGCGAGGAGCTCAGCCAGGCCAGATCCTGCTTAACCATTGGAAAATCAAACAAGCAGCCCTCTGAGGGCTGGAGAGTTCGCAGGAAAGCTAACAGCAGCCCTCCTCAAAGGCTGTCTTTGCCTATTAATGTCAAACACCCGAAGTTAGGCACTTCCCATGGTAAAGACAAAAAAAAAGAAAAAAATCCCAGCTCCAAACACACAACTCCCTTGCTCTAAAAGAACTTCAGATATACTGTTATGATTATTTGTACTTCAGTATTATTAAAAAGTATTTCACCAGTTAGACCTCAAATTTGAGGCGATCAAACGGATCGGAAAAAAAATAGATTAAAAGTTATAGTACATGGCTCCTACAAAGCCAATGCAGTACGCACACAATTCCACTTTGCCAATTTATAAGAACTAACTCTTCAGGCTGAATAATTCTGTTTTACTGGCAGATAAACGAGCAAATTACAAGAGGCCAACGAGTGTTGTTCCCTGCAACTAAGCCCTAACAAATGTAATAAAGGATGTTTTCTGCTCTTTCAACGGTAGGAAAGGAGCAAGTGTTGCCCTGTATTAAATATCTTCCCTAACTTCAGTTACTGAAGTACCCAAAACGTGTCTAAACACACAGTGTTAGGGACCAGAGGTACAGGGGTTGCAGGTATGGTCAAGCAGTTTAGGTGGCGTTTAATTAGATGGAAGCCGAAAGCAGTAAGGGGAAACCCGAATTAACAAGCTACCTTCTCCAAACATTGCTTTAGAGAAACACAGGCTCCCCGTGAACGGTAAGGAGTAAAGAAGGGTGTGGGAAGTAAAGGTGGTGCAGGGCCCTTCCCTATAAAGCAGGAGCCGGGGAGCTCCGACCCCTGACCACCTCTCTGGGCAGCGGCGGAGCGCTGGCCCTGCAGAAAAACCGGGAGAGGATCAGTCAGGGCCTCCCTCCCCTTCCAACCAGCGCAGGTCGATAAAAGTGCACCGCTTTCGACCCGGAGGTCTCTCCCCTCCACCAAGTTCAACCCGCCACCACTGAGATTCCTAAACGACCCTCCCCCGGCATTCCCTCCCCTCCGAGCAGCAAATCGGGGCTGCCCGCGGAACGGGCTGCAGCTGGGAACCGGGCTGCTCTGCAAGGCCATTTCATCTCCTCTGGTGCTGAGACCTTGGAGCAAGGGTAATCACTGCGCTAATTGTTCCTTGTTAATTGAAGATGACATTGGAATCCCTGGCTACGGAGCGGTTTCCAACCAGTCCTGAAAGCTCCTAAAGCAAAGGGAACCCGCAGCGCAGCCAGGGTTCAGGATTCGTTCGATCCTGGCTCTGAGCGGTGTATTTCCCGCCCGTTCACTCTGTGCTATGTCTGACCCGCACCCCACCACTCTAATTCTCCCTATCCCGAGATGGAAATGTTGGCAGGGACTAAATTGTCCCTGTAAATTCCGTTAGAATTAGGACCAGAATTTAGGGAAAAGTGAAAAGTTGTAGATATGATAAAACACCCCTTAAACTTCAAGTCAGGACTCCAGAGAGACATAACGTGCAAACGCTGTCATAGCTTTTGTGTGTTAGTCTTTAAACTCCCCTTCTGTACAACAAGGGGGTATATAAAATGTGCCTCTGACTCCAAACGAGATTAAGAGGCACTACCCGTTATGAAAATACAGCTCACTGCATCGAGATCTCACAGAACCCTCGGGGCAACGGAGAAAAAAAAAAGCAGTGTGTTGCTTTGGACGCAGGCTAGACGGCGGAGACACTTGATCTGTTAGAGCCGTGATTATTGTTATTATTTTTAGGTATTATCTAAAAATGGCCAGAGTTGACACATGGTCTCGAGAAAATACAGTTTGCAGCCAAACTGTATACATCCGGCGAGAACGACTCCAGACCATTGACCTACTGCGCTCCAGATCCAGTGGGAGTAAACCGAATCTGTAACAGTTACGAAATGAGTTGCAGTAGGTGAAATCGTTTCTTGAAAGAAAAAAAAAAAAAATCTCTTAATAATTGGCAGTCACTGTCCTACACGCATTTTTCATTTTGCCTGTGACTCAGTAACTGCTCATGCACGTAATCATTTACAAAGGGCAACCAGTCCACAGAAAATTAAATGTTGGACCCCTGACTGCCGCCTTCAGAGGGAGAAGTGGGGCAAGATCTGGAGCCGGACTCCCTCCTCCTCGCAGCTCGGTCCTTTTCCTCCGAGGCCCCGGCACCGCGGGCCGGTTGGCCGCCGGTGGGGCTCGCAGCGGAGCGATTCTCCCCTCCCGGTCCGGGGTCTCCGCGACCTCCCCGGCTCGGACGGGAGACCCGAGGGACACAGGCGCAACCCTGTTCCGTGCATCCGCGTTAAAAGCGCGCATGGGCCAGGAGACTGCGCTCAGCCTAGGCTCTGGCAACTTAGTCACTGCTAAAGTTTACTCGTCTCTCACTGTTTGGTGAGAACCGCCAGTTTAACTTCCCCAGTGAACCCAGGCCTAGGTTTACTGGGTTTATCGAACCGCTCACAGCCTAGGGTGCCCATATCGACGCGGCAAGCCCTTAGAAAGGAATCCGACCTTTAAAAACGGATCTCTGATTAGGCTAACAACTTCGCCAAGCTGCGCATAAACACGTGTATTCATTCACCAGCGGCCTGGCAGTACCCTGCTCAGGTTTGTGAGAACATTGCTTTCAGGGCAGCTAAGCACAGGGCTAGAAAGGCAAATCAGATTCTGCTGTCAGATCTACAACAGCTTTTCTATTCTGTATTTTGTTTAGTAGTTTAATTTCTGCTTCTCATCTCCTTGGTTGTAAAGTGGAAACACAACAATAAATAACTCAAAATGTTATGAGGTAAAAGCCATTCATACTTGCGAGCTGTCTGGAGTTAATGTGAAAAATGGAAGAAACTATTCAAAAGTACTTAAAACATTGAAGGCTTTCTCTATAGTACCTCTTATATCATAGAATTAATATGTATTTTGAGGGAAACCATGTTGACTTACAGCCCACAGGATATAGAAATGAGATGGTGAAGAAGATTTCCCTAGGAAAATATTTTACACAGCTGTTGCTCAAAGAGCTGTTTACGTTATTTCACTATATATGTATGTGTGTGTGCGACAAAACTATGATGAGTTCACTTGAACAACTCTTGGCAATAAAAAAGCAAACTGTTCTAGCTCTTTCCAAAGCAAAATTAACCCCCCCAATACACTGAAAAGAAATGAGCTTTGCCTTGTTTTTTGCTTTTGCTTAGTTATTCAGGCAACAGTGTAAAACTCTGCTCTATGTTGTGGCCAAACCACATAACACTGTTTCACCCATGTAAAACAGAGTCAGACAACTGCTGTATAAACTAGGATCTCTCTTTCTATTTTCTCTTGAAAATGAAAGCTAAAGTAGATCACAGGCAAAAAAAGTACATCACAGAAACAAAGGCAGTAAGCAGGACAGAGGAGCCCAAAGAAGTTTGCATTGCTGCTGTAAAGCGACCCAAGAAAAACAACACAAACAAACAGCTTGGAAGTCTCTGAAGTAAAACCCAAGGACTGAATTCTGGTACTCTAATTTATGTCAGCTCATAAGTTACAGCCCACGTATAGTTTGACTGAAGGCAGTGTGATTGCTTGTGAAAACAAGTAGTAAATACAAACCAAATCTGGTCTGAAATTGTTTTTAAAGCAACTTTCAACTCCTGGTATTTTCAGAAGTGTCAGCTTACTTTGTTTGAAAGTGCAGATACACTTCTTAACAGGGCTAGAAGTAAATCTAGCTATAATTAAATATTCACCTGATTTTCTGTCAGAGTGTTGACTTACTAGCATCTGTTCATGTTGACTTGTCTTATAATTCAAAAGAGAAAACACCTTCAAGAAGCTTTTTATTTTCTCCTAGTTTCAGATTGCTTTGCCTCTGTTTTTAGCCCTGTCAACATCAGTCTTTCTGTATTGGGTGCTTTCCCTCTTTCTCCTCTCTCCCTTTTCTTTTCTTTTAGAACTAAGGATCAACTAGGCCTAGTAAATAATCCAACAATTGTTGGAAAGCAGTTCAAGAATTCAAATGGGCAACTAATGAAACTTGCTCTAGTTTACAGACATTCTGAAACATTTTTCATTAGCTGCTCTTTAATTAATATTCCCTGCTATGATGACACCATTAATTTCCTCATCTGTGACTGAGCTATCTTTATAAAAGATATGAGATCTTGTGAATTCTTGTGACTTGATAACAGCTTTGGATTTTTTTTTATTTTTTTTTTCTGTATTTTTTTTTAAAGCAGAAAATAAAAATACAGAGGTCTGAGTTTTTGTTTTTTGCCAGTACTGCAATTTCTTTCCCTCATAAGAAGCAATGATGCCATGGTCCCTGAATAACTCTTGTGCACAATTCACACCCACCAAAGTGTAATCTGAAACAAATCCATCTTTCATAGGCACTTTGGAAATCCCTAATAAGGGAAAGCAGGAAAACTCTTTTCAAGTTTTGAGCCACTAGTTGGTTGCTTACGGAAACATCTTAAATCAGTACCAACTAAGTGCTATTGCTGATTGGGGTTGAGATTGGGGAACTGAATCAAGCCTTGATGCAACTGCTTTCTAGACATGTTTTACAGACAAAAGTCTTTGAGCAGCTCATATAAACTCCAAGGCACAGTCCAAGAGCATTTATTTTATCAACAAAACCCTTTCTGGAGAAACTGTCATAACAAACTTTCCTGCTGTACATCTCTTTTTATAGGTGCTTGTGATGTGGGGGAAAAGCTCAGGAACATTCAAAATGCTGGTTTGACCTTTATTGTTCTCTCAAGCTAAGAGTGTTTCTATGAGTGAGATTTCAAAATCTGAATGAGATTTCAAATGACTCTTTGAATGCCCAAAGCAAAACTATCACCATAGGAAAAAAGACTTGTTTGAAAATAAATGCCAAAGGAGAGAGAACTTTCTAAGTCTGCCTTTAGCAGGTACAGGCTGGGGGGACATGCTGTGTTTAAGAATAGGAAAATGTAATCTTATGGATCTTTTTTTGTCTCACTTAATTACCACATCTTTACTTATTCTTGCACCATCTTAGCCCTTCCTTATTTGTTTCCTTCTTATTTTGCTTGCTTGCTTCCTTCTTTCCTTCCTTCCTTTTTTGCTTGTTTCTTTTCTTCCAAACAGTATGTGACTCAAGATTTTTGCCTCTATCATTTACCCTACCTGATGCATGGCCACTAACTCCTGGTTTCATTTTGTTTATTGAACAGGTTGTAATGAGAACGAGGCAGATCACCTGGACAGAGACCAGCAGCCTTATCCCCCTTCCCAGAAGACAAAGCGCATGCGCACCTCGTTCAAACACCACCAGCTTCGTACCATGAAGTCCTACTTTGCTATCAACCACAACCCAGATGCCAAGGACCTCAAGCAGCTTGCCCAGAAAACAGGGCTGACCAAGAGAGTTCTGCAGGTAAGATGCCACATCATAGGCTTGACCCAATTTTCCCCTACCCCTGCCAGTCAATAGCATTTCCCTTATGTGTAATGATAGTGATATATGTAGAAATACTTCCACTAGGTGTGTCCCTAGTGGGTGTCCGGAGGGGTATGTGCCAAATGTGCCATATGTGCCAAATGTATGCCCTACCGCATCCAGGCAGCCAAATACTACAATGTGAGTTGCAATTAGCTGCATCCTCAACATTAGGAAACTGTCTCAAGAATCTACTGACCCAGTAGGATTCCTGGGATCTGTAGTCTCTCAGTGGTGACCTTATTAAGGGCAGAGGTAGAAAATATACCAAATTTATACACACTGGGTGAAGCCTTTGGGCTCCCCTGAAATAGTTAATATGGCCCCTCAGTGAGCAGATCCCCTGATATGTGGGAAGGAAGCTTTGGCCAATATGATCCTCCATGACCAGCCGGCTCCTTCTCTCAATGCCTGTTAGGCAACTGTTACTATTAAGGGCCTACATAGTAAAATGTCACTTCTCTGTGAAGGACAGCCTAGAAAATTACACTATAAAAACATCCCTATAGAGTGCACACTATCTCAGTGAAGTTAAAGTGAAGTGTATATTTTACACAGAGTGCCAAAGAAGGAGAGCGATGGAGGTAGAAGTAGAATCTATTAGCTGCAATTCCTTGTCTGTGTTACATGTTGCCTAAAAACATTTTCAGTGAGCCTTACAGAACAGAGAGACCAGGTGACCTGTATCAACAATCTGTATGATAGGGTTGTTGTAACTACTCCTCCTTCCTCTTTGGTCTTTTAAAATGATCAAGGCAAACTTTCAGCCTTGGCAAAAATCTGCTCATTCACCCTCTGCCTCAATCTTTATGTGTCCTGACCTAAAACCTACCCAAGCCAAGAATACACTACATGGACATCAAGAAAGTCACTTTCCCTGGGTGAGTGAGCAGATTTTTTCTTAAGGCTGCTCTATGAGGCCTGCACACTGGGCTGAAACATTCCAGTGAGCACCTGTAGCACTGGGCCTTGTATGCAGGGTCCTGCCTGTGAAGGAGTCAATTCCACCAGTAACAAGTGAAGCTATAGAGGGATTTAGTCTATTTGCCACACATGAACAAACACCAACAATTACTTAAAAGCAAGAACAAAGACAAAATATAACAAAACAAAGCAAGCATCGGTAAAGAAATCAATTGGGATTGGTTTGCAGGTTTGGTTTCAAAACGCAAGAGCCAAATTCAGAAGGAACCTTTTGCGGCAGGAGAATGGGGGTGTCGATAAAGCTGATGGCACCTCACTACCGGCACCGCCCTCAGCAGACAGCGGCGCACTCACTCCACCCGGCACTGCGACCACTTTAACAGACCTGACCAATCCCACTATCACTGTAGTGACATCAGTGACCTCTAACTTGGACAGCCACGAATCCGGGAGCCCCTCACAAACTACCTTAACGAACCTTTTCTAACATTTCAGTTTGGTTTATTTTTTTTTTAATTCTTACTTTTCATTATTATTATTATAATATTATTATTATTATTTTCAAGCCTTTTTTTTTTCTTTTTTTTATAACAAACCCACAAAATATTTGGGAAAATAAGCAGCTTCATGTGTAGCATCTGCAGCCACTTGGCAAATGAGTTTGAAGTAAGATATTGCTATAATAAATGAACATTTATTGTTGTTAAATTGTACTCAAATTTTTTAAATTCATCAAGTAACTGAAGAGAAGGTTATGAAGCATTCTAATAAGTGCCTCTTAAAATTGTATATTACTTATTTCCAGTACCTTGAGAAAAATGAGTATTGCCACTTAAAAAAAGAGAGTCTTTTCCCTCCTTGATAATCAGATAGGAATCAGTTTAATTGTAGCCAAAACAATGCTGCTTCAGGATTGAATATTTACTTACAGCATTTAAGAACCCCAAATTTTACTTAATTTTTATAACACATCTGAAAGTTTTCAAATGCTGAAAAATAAATACAAAATGAATTAAAGTTCTCATTGGAATAGTCACACTGGACATGCAGTGCTTTTTTCCAAGGCACTAGTCACAAGCCTGATCCTTCCTGAGCACTGGGGATTCTTACTGGGATAGCTAAATTCTCCTCTGCCAGTTCTTCACCCAGCTGGAATGTCCGTGGCCACCACTGAGAGCTGTGACTGAGTGGAGGGTTTGGAGAGAGAGACCCAGTGATGAGCGTGCATGTGGGTGAGGATGGCAGGCTCAGGCTATTGGCCTCCAAAGTTGTGTCCTGTACAAGAACAAGGCAAGGAGGCAAGATCCGGAAAACACTGGATACAAAATGAGCTCACTCCTGTATATGTTAAAGTAATGACAGCAGAATAACAGTTCAAGTGAGGAGTCCTACTGATTCAAAATATTGCATAGGGAGGGGTTTTCATCTTTTGTCAAGCAGCTCTGATTTGGAATGAAAAAAAAATTAGAACAGTTCACTACATGGCCTTGATACTGTACCATTAAAGCAAACAGGAGGTTGCCCACCTACTTTAGTGAGCACATAAATAATTTCCCAGAAGAAGTGTGCATGTGTGCTAAGTGACTTTTTGATAAATCATACTTTTTTTCAGGGAAAATGGAAATAAGCAAAATATAATTTAATAAGATGTTTAAGGAAAATTATCTCAGCACAATTTATACATTACTATTTTGAATTTACTTTAGATATTTCCTGAGATTGTATCAGACACTATGTTTAACACATGAACTTAAAATCTTTTGTTCATTAATATCTCTAACATATACTTTAACTTTTTAAACTTTTTATTACAGAAAAAAAAAGCTAGCAAAAATTCTTACAAAAATGGGAATTGGCAGTGAATAATTTCAAAGCAGATAAACTCAGAAGCCTTGTGGATGCTGATCTGAATACATTTCTTAGTTTACAATAGTGATCTTTCCTTTTTTAATTTTATTTAAGCTAAAAGTCTGAATGGTCTGGGCAGTGGTGAATGTTCATTTGTATCCTTTTATTGTAGTTGAACACCAATTAGATTGTGGAGAGTCTCAGAAACAAAACCGAACAAAAATCAGTCAAGATCTATGTCTTGCTTTTAGTGGATTGTTAAGAATAACTTTGCACATATATCCCACTTTTTAGACACCATCAAATCTCTTTTTTTGGTGGTCAAAGTGGCTATTTAATATATTTTAAAGGTGTCCTTTTTGGCTGTATAAATGTGTGGTTACATATTGACAGTTCACTGCCCACATTAAAGTGCATTATTGTAATTTTTGCTCAGGGTTTTTAGAAAATTAGCACAGAAAAGTAGCTTATTTTTAAAAAAAGATGATGGAAGAGATGTTAACACTGTAATAGAAGAAAGGTGTGTTTGCCATTATATATTTAGCAAGTATGGTTATCATCTTCTACGGATATTAAATCTTGACTTTTCCTATTTCTATTACCTTATGGGCATTTACCACTAACCAGACCAAACGACCTTGGTAAGGCTGAGATCTTTATTAATACACTTTTACAGGTAAAAATATTGATACTTATAAATTTTGTTCTTTGACAGAACAATATATGGTACTAGAGATCTACTTTATTAAGTAGACTAATTAAAACTCAGTTCTACTATGTGCCTTATGATATACCTTGGGAGTAAGTTTGTGAAAAATCAGGATATATGTGTTGTTTGTTAAATTAACTGTTTTAAGCCCTTTTGACACCTCACTAGTTTTGTACTGTTTTACCTCTTATTTCTGAAACTCTTTTTATGGTGTATCCTGTTAGAGGGGACAAACATGTCATAGAAAGCAGTTGTGCACTCTTTCAGATATAGTTGATAAATCCAATAATCTTATATATTGAGCTTCGTGTTTATAGTACAGTAAGTGGTCTAGCAAAATTGTCCATGTTTCTTTGTTTATTGATAAATGCATTGTATAGAAACTATTTCCCCTAAATATTTATGGACCAAACAATTGTGATATATCCTATTAAATTTGTGTGAATAAACCATTTTGAATCTAAGGAGTTTTATTTCCCATCAGTTTTTTTGTTTGTTTTGTTTTGTTTGTTTCTTTTTATTCCTTTTAATTTAAAGTCTACATGTACCAGTGCGTCTCTTTGCTTTTAGGGTACCTGTGAACAATTGGTATGAAACACGGAAACACAGCCTTTTAAATATTTTTAAATATGGTTCCTTCTTAGGTTTTCAATTTCTTCATATTCAATGTATATGCTAGTGCTGGTGCAGTTTAGATTTTAGCCTTTTAACCTCCTTTTTTGAACATGCAAAGTAATGCCCCACTGATTTGATACTGAAACCCTGCCTTAGACTTCTAAAAAAAGCCAGAAAACTAGCAGCTAAAGTAATTGCATGAAAAATATAACCTAAATAATATAATGAAATGAATCAAGATTTAATGCTAGGTATATTGAACACAAAATAGAATTGCAGACCCCGAAAAGCCAGGTTGCTCTGTAGTTTAATAAATTGTCACTATGATTTCTTTCAGGGAGAACAAATCATGGGGCATTACAGCCAAACATCCCGACGTTTGAAAATTCCCTAAAGTATTAAAAGAAGGGGAAAAGTTTGATCGGAAATCCACTGCAGTGAAGACAAAGACAATATTAGGTTATGATAATCATACATTTAAAAATCTATTGAGCCAAAAAATAAAAAGAAAAGACTTGATGTCATTTCCTGAATGTTAACAAACCATATGTTATTTCATGGTGTCTAATTAACAAAACTGAAGGCTTCAACAAATGGTGTGGTATTAAAAACAAATTTAGAGGAACTATGTATAAAATCAGAGCAACCTGGCAGCAATCTACCCAGTCCATATTTGAAGAAAACTTTTCTTTAAAAAAAAAAAATTAAAAAAAAATCACATTTGTCAAGCACAAGTACTTGTAAAATAAAATCTGAGCGCATTCATTCCACTTGCTTGCTAATGTGTACTAGTCATATCTGTTAAATGGACTTTTGTAAATTCAAAGAGAACTTTTCACTCATTTGAGACCATAGGAATCAAAATTCAGTAACTTTAGTCCAGTTGTTTCTGAATTTATTTTTTTTTAATGAGACAAATCTGCATGCACTTTTCCATCTGTCACATATAGTGTACATTTCTGTATGATGAATTTCTCTTTGCTGTTTCTTGTATAATAGCTTTCATTAATAAACATTTTGTTTGATGCAAACATAGTTAAATTTATGTAAACACATAGCTAATTGTTTCAACTAATTTAAACTTTTCTTTTCAAAAGAAGCAGTACAGTGCAGTTCCAATGTTATATATATCTATAATTGAAATGAATGAGGTAGCAATACTGTTGCACAGTGTAAAATTATTTCCTTTAGTGTTAACTTTTTAATTTTTTAAACTTCTCATATAAAACTGATGTGTTAAAAAAAAATCCCATCAGCATCAACAATAAAACAATCCTCAAATTCTTCATCAATATAAGAACATAAGCAGTACAGTACAGTATGTAAAATTCTCAATCACTTTTAGAGTACAAGAATATAATTTGTGGATCCCTAAGCTGTTTACATGGTCACTATGCAAGTATGTTAGAAGAAGTTGGTCCTAAGTTTCCCAGTCCAAATCGCAGATGATTTTTACAAGCAACAAACAAGTGTATAACAATAACCAATTCTTAATAATGAGGTTTTGTAACTGTTAAGCAACTATTGCAGAAAGATTTTTTAAAATATATTCCTATTTAGCTGTATAGCCAAAGGTATGTTAAACAAATTAACATATAAAAGACTTGCCAGAAAATCTTTCATTAAGATGACATTTTTATTATATACTAATGAACCCTATGTAAACAATGTAACTTTTATGAACGATGGACATTAAATATTTCACTTACGTGTATTCTCAGCATTTTGCATGTTTTCTTAAACTTTTCCAGTTTCTGAATTCTAAAAAGAAAACCATACAATTACTAACATAACACAAAGTTACATACAGATTACTGCAGTCATCTCTGGAAACCGGTAACCAAGAGTCTTCTAACGGCAATAAAAGGTATCATTTATTGGTGGCAATTATGTGAAGCATTGTTTAAACAACAGTTTTATAGTATGTTGTAAAGTTCTATTGAAAAAGGTTAGCATGTTGGACTTAATTCAAATCAGCTTGATCAGAAATTTAAGTATATTGTGACATTCTTAAACTAAGCCTTATGTGTATTTATTACTGCAGAAAGTAAGTAAATGTAGGAAAGCAGTTATTCATGTTACAGCAATAATGTGGTTTCCCCCTGTTGTCCATAGGAAAATATTACAAACATTAATTATTCAAATCAGTAAAGAACTTGGTGGTATTTAAGGCCAAGAAAAAAAAAAAACACATGTACTGTAATTTTTCTTTTGTAAATCACTGCATTATTTAATAAGTTCCTTCCCCCCAGTTGAATACTTACAGGTTAGACATTAAGGTTTGATTTTTCCTAACAGCACTTTTCGTTGTTTGGAGGTAGTACATTGTGCTCTGATTGACCTGACTAGTTGCATTAGTTCTTTATCTTTAAAAAAAAAATCCAATTTTTTTTTGAAAGATAAAGAACTGTCTCCTGCATTAAGACAGCAAACAGGTTGGAAAGGCAGAATTAAATGAGAAAGAAAGAATGAAATATTTTCAGCCAAGATTTGAGAGAATGAAAGACAAATTTAGGTTTTCAGTGTTGTTGAGAAATGTATTGAGGGTCGTTCTAGTGGACGCATATCCATGTCTAGATGCAGTATTTCTTTGCACTCCTGGTCTTGAAAAATAAATCAAGACTGCACAGTCCTGGAGCATCTTATTCAGAATTACGGAAGAGAAACGCCTCGCAGGACCAGGTCAAATGACAGAAGGCTGACACTACAGCCCACTGAAAGTGGTGAAGATTCTCTCTCTAATTCCATGGGCTTTCAGCCAGGAGCTGAACATGGAGATTAAATTACTCTCTTGCCTCTAAAGAAAGCATAACCTTCAGAATGAGATAGAATATATAGGACAGCCATGCCGCTCTGTACTTTGGACTTCATTCTTCAAAGCTGCTAATCCAAGCACCTGGCACATGCATTAAATTGACTTCAAAATAATTCTTCCTCCTTCATCGAAATACAGGACACAAATTATACTGCAATTTCCAGAAGCTACTATAGTGTTGGAGACTTTATTCAGTTATTCTGCAATGTTGAGCAATTCTTCTGCACTTCTTACTTGACACAGACTTATCTTGACACATACCTATATACATATCCTTGTCTTGCCTTCAGAAAACCAGTATTTTCATATTTATTTAAGTCATTCAAACCTACAGGAAGCAACTCTCCATGCTTACATGTGCTAGCAGAGGCAGTTGAGATAGTTTTTGGTTTGATACTTCCTTACAGTAAAACATTTTTTTGGAGTAGTTTTTTTGTTATCAATTTTATATGGTGGGTTTTTCTTTTAGTTTTTATAGCTTTGGACCAAAAAAATGTGGGGCTTTAAACATCTATGTGTACAGATTATTTTGCCAGCTTTTCCTATAATACCTAGAGAAAAAATCTACTGCAATTGTTGAATTCATGGCTTGCACGTTACTATAAGAGCATTCTCCTTTACAAATTTATCATAAGAAATAATACCTACTACATGCAATTCTAATGTTAACTAATATGATAATATTAGAAATAATAGATCTTTAGCTGCACTCATGTGTGGCTCAAGTGTGCTTCTGTTTTTGGATATGGAATTGCAAGCAAGCATTCTTTGATATTTCTGGTATTTGCTATTGCTAGGAGCAGAGGGCTAGACTGAAGGCCTGACATAGCGTGACAAAAATCAGTGCTATTTTCCAGTTTGTCCCCTTTTCAAATTGGACTTTAACAGAGAATAAAAATACTGCAAATAATTCTTTTACCGCTAGAAAATAAGTTAGATATTCTTCCCTTCTGTATTTCAGTTACACACTTCAATACAGATTTCTAAGTCTGAACTGATACACAGCCTTTTGAATCTTTGAGACTGCTGCATGTAGCAAATAAATAATAAGGGAAAGGACAAGCTAAGAAATGGTTATAAGCCTGCAAATATAAGCACTCACTAGGAAAGATAGGTAGCTTTCTATTGATCATACTAAGAATCCTTATTTCATCATTTTCATTGAGGAATTTGGACTTGCCTGAGAGGAAAAAGATCAAGTAGTTTGCTTTGCCACATGCCTTTTGCTCCCACAACTGAGGTGCAACAGAGAACACTCTGTAACAAGAATTTTTCAGGAATAATTATTTAGCAAAATAACAAAATGTTGCTCAATATTCTAAAACCAGTAAAACAAAATGCAACTTCAGGAAAGCCAAGAGCACTGATTGTTGTTTTATCTTAAGTTATAAATATATACAGGCTCATAATTTGTGTTCAATTCATAGAGGATAATTAACTTTTCCAAACAAATACATATCTCCTCCCAACAAAGAGCTATGCATGGAGTGTCAGTAGGGACAGTAAGACAAGTTCAGAAAGTAATCAACTTTGCAGCTTAGAAGTGAATATTTAGGGCTCGGGCTGCAGCCACATGTGCTAGACAATACCTCTCATTTTCTTTTCTGGCTCTCCAGCAGAGTAATTTTTGACTTTATAAGAAAGAGTGGGCCACAGAAAAGAAAGCTAAATAGACACTGTAAAGTATATGAATAGGATTGTGTGCCTTTTATGTGCCTGCTAGCATATTCGATCTAAAATGCTGCTGCACTGAGACTCTGAATATCAGTCTTAAAGGAGCTACTGCTTTCATTTTGCTTTTTTTTTATTTGAGGATGCCTTGCTTCTTGCATATGAGGTTATACAGACAAGCTACAACTGCATTAGCTGAAGTAATTTCCTACCACATTTTGTCAAATTCTTAATAATCAAATCATTGGACAGCTATATACATATATTCGTGAATCTGGCTGGAGCAGATTAAGAAAGCAGAGCTGTTGCTGTTCATTGCAAACTATTAGAAAAAGTTTGTTCTCCTAGGAGTGCTTTCTGCAT